GCTGCTCCGCATTCGGTCACTCTCTGGTCCGACGCCTTCAATCCCCTGCGCGGTCCATCGGTCTCGGGTCTGCACGCCGTCAGTCTGTCGTCCGCAGTCCGTCGGTCTCTCGTCCGCCCGCCGTCGCCGTCTTCTCCGACGCATTGAACGGTTTCAATCTCCAGCACGGTCCGGCCGACTCTGCTCAGCACTCCATCCCTCTCTGGTCCGCACTCGGTTGCCGTCTGCTCCGACGCCGTGAACTCTCTGGTACAGTCCGGTGGTCTCTCTACTAACGCCTCAATCTCCAGACAACTAGTCTCTCTCGGTTAGAATATTTGACAATTTCAAGCTTCTTGGTCATATTTTGAAAAATGTTTGGTTTGGAATGTTTGAACATTTGAATTGTTGATTGTTCGTAAAAGCTGCTCGATGACCTGAAGTGGTTTGGAATGTTCGGTTGTTTCGTGTGTTTATATATGGAACCAGTGATAACCGTGACTTGTATTTTCACTGTGATATTAGAAATGTGAAGTATGTTGATATTACAATGATCTGACATGCGAATCAAAGTTAGGGGCAAAAGTTGGGGCTGGTTGGTACTAAGTTATATTAGAGATCAGTTTGAAGAACACTGGTTAAAATTGTCAAAAATTTGATTTGGTAGAGCTTTTTAAATGCAGCAATCAGTTATTGTTAATATTGCTGAATTAAAAGGGAGAACTTTATGTAATTGATTTGTTCGGCAATAAAATAATAAAGGTTTTGTTTGGCTTTTTATGGTGGGCTCCATGGTGGAATGTTAATTTGGCCATAAGGTCAGAAAGGGAATTGCTTGTTGGATATAGCACCTATTGGCTCTATACTATAACCAATGAAGGGAAATTCATTCTGGTGGATTGATTTGTGATCCATATTATTTACTGCCGTTCATTGCTTTCTGTCATCCAAAGGGATATATTTTGATTTTGTTGATTAGTGAATAATTTGGTGGTGTTGAAGATACTTACTATTTTAAAATATATGTTGATGACAGTATTTTTTTTCCTTTTTGCAGTCGAACAAAATGACTAAAAAGAGTAAGAGTAAAGATGGACAAAGGGCTAGGAATTTCTCCGGATACATATTATTCACTGAAGAGTTTTATGAGCAGAACAAGAAGAAGTTTAAGTCTTTTGAAGAGGGCACTAACTCTGTGAAAAAGGCTTGGGGGAACTTAACAGAAGAGGAGAAAGAACAATATGGTGAAAGGGCTAAAGAAATGAGAGTCCCACCAAAAGGGAAGAATTATATTGTTCCCTTTCACACACGCTGTGCTCCGGGACAATTTATGGAAGTCTGCAAGCAATTAAAGAAAAGTAAAGATAAGATGGAAAGACTGAAAAGAATTGGTTTTGATAAATTGGTTGACATATGCTGCTCACAGATCTATAGAGATTTTTGTGGTGAATTGATCCGTGTGTTTGACCCTGTAAGTAGGCAAATTTCAATTCGAGGGAAGACGCATTTAGTGGGGCCCGAAGATGTAAATGAATTGATGGGTCTACCATTTAAGGGGGAAGATATTAAAATAAATGTGGAGAATGAAGATGAAACGTTCAAGAAATTAAGGAGTGACTACGGGAAAGTGCCATACAAAACAATAGGAACATGGTTGATTGAAGGAAAAGAGGAAGAAAAGTTTGAATTCCTTTTTGTTATGTATGCACTAGGAGTCCTCTTGTGTCCTGGCTCTAGTGTATGGGTGAGTGATAAAGTGTTGAAAGTCATGGTGGTGACAAAGGATAGTTTAGGACACTATGATTGGAGCAGCTTAGTTTTGAAAGAATTCTGCAACTCAATTGCAGAGTTCAAGAAAGGAAAGAAGAAAGGAAAAGCTGATGGGACGAAAAATGTGGGAGGTTGCATGTACTTCCTAATGGTAAGTGTGGGTATGATTCATTTACTTTGATGTTAGTTTATTGTCAATGTGCTGTGTAGGTTGTGATTGGTTGCTCTGTATGTTGTTATTTACTACTCTGTTGTCAATTGGAGAAATGTACGCTGTCAACTGCTTATGTATAGGTTGTGATTTGCTGGTGTCAAGGTTGTTATAGTACTGTGTGCAGGTTGTTAATGGATTGTGTTGGTTTGTCACCTGGTTATGTATAGGTTGTAATTGCCTTCTGTTCGTGTTGTCATTCGGTTTATCGTGGGTTGTCAATGGCTGCTGTGCATGTTGTGAATGACACAAATGTAGGTTGTGATTAGCTGATGTGTAGGTTGTGACTGTATGGTGTGCATGTTGTCATTTGGTTTAGCGTGGGTTGTTAGTGGCTGCTACTCAGGTCAATGGCCTGTGTTGGTTTGTCACCTGGTTATGTATAGGTTGTAATTGCAGTCTGTTTGTGTTGTCATTCTGGTGAGTATGGGTTGTCACTGGATGCTGTACATGTTGTGAATGGCGCAAATGTATGTTGTGACAGGCTTATGTGTAGGTTGTGATTGGACAGTGTGTATGTTGTTATTTACTACTCTATGTCGTCGAGTTGGAGAAATGTACGCTGTGAACTGGTTATGTATATGTTGTGAGTGGATGGTGTGGAGGTTGTTATTGACCTGTGTGCAGGTTGTCATTGGGCTGTGTTGGTTTGTCACCTGGTTATGTATAGGTTGTAATTGCAGTCTGTTCGTGTTGTCATTCTGTTGAGTATGGGTTGTCACTGGATGCTGTACATGTTGTGAATGGCGCAAATGTATGTTGTGACAGGCTTATGTGTAGGTTGTGATTGGTCACTGTGTATGTTGTTATTTACTACTCTATGTCGTCAGTTGGAGAAATGTACGCTGTGAACTGGTTATGTATATGTTGTGAGTGGATGGTGTGGAGGTTGTTATTGTCCTGTGTGCAGGTTGTCATTGGGCTGTGTTGGTTTGTCACCTGGTTATGTATAGGTTGTAATTGCAGTCTGTTCGTGTTGTCATTCTGTTGAGTATGGGTTGTCACTGGATGCTGTACATGTTGTGAATGGCGCAAATGTATGTTGTGACAGGCTTATGTGTAGGTTGTGATTGGACAGTGTGTATGTTGTTATTTACTACTCTATGTCGTCAGTTGGAGAAATGTACGCTGTGAACTGGTTATGTATATGTTGTGACTGGATGGTGTAGAGGTTGTTATTGTCCTGTGTGCAGGTTGTCATTGGGCTGTGTTGGTTTGTCACCTGGTTATGTATAGGTTGTAATTGCAGTCTGTTGTGTTGTCATTCTGTTGAGTATGGGTTGTCACTGGATGCTGTACATGTTGTGAATGGCGCAAATGTATGTTGTGACAGGCTTATGTGTAGGTTGTGATTGGTCACTGTGTATGTTGTTATTTACTACTCTATGTCGTCAGTTGGGGAAATGTACGCTGTGAACTGGTTATGTATATGTTGTGAGTGGATGGTGTGGAGGTTGTTATTGACCTGTGTGCAGGTTGTCATTGGGCTGTGTTGGTTTGTCACCTGGTTATGTATAGGTTGTAATTGCAGTCTGTTCGTGTTGTCATTCTGTTGAGTATGGGTTGTCACTGGATGCTGTACATGTTGTGAATGGCGCAAATGTATGTTGTGACAGGGTTATGTGTAGGTTGTGATTGGTCATTGTGTATGTTGTTATTGGGCAGTGTGTAGGCTGTGATTGGTCACTGTGTATGTTGTTATTGGGCAGTGTGTAGGTTGTGATTTTCCGCTGTTTATGTTGTCAGTGGCCTGTTTGGATGATGTTGTTGTATATCTAAGTTATCATTAACTTCACATGCAGATTTATTGCCTACAACACTTTCCTCTTGGAAAAGAAAAGGCGGCAAAAAATGAAAATGCCATTACTTATTGGGATGAGGAAAAAGTGAAGGCAAGAGTGAAATCAGAAAAGAATAGCGACAGAGGCATACTGCATGGCGTTCCGAGTGTCGGTGGGGCTTCAACAAGTGCATCCAACACAGGAATAAAGCTAACCCACCCTGTAAGTAAATCATGTGAAGCTTATTTTGGTGCTGTGTAGAATTTGGAGTAATGATAACTTTCATTACTGTTGTTTTGCAGGAAATCAAGAGAACGTATGAAAGGTTGATGACCATGGTTGAAGGGTTGGTGTCGACAATTGGAGAAGAGTTGGTTTCCCTGCAGTTGAGGTTGACGGATGAGATTGACAAGGAAGATGTGGTGGAAGCAGTAAGTAGCGAAGATGACAAAGAGAAGGCAACTGAAGATGAAGAAACCGGTGAAGAAGGTAAAGGAAGCCCAAAAGATTCAATTCTGTCACAAGAGGAACAACAGAGTGAACCAGAAGGAGATGATAAAGAAGAGGGCAAAAGTGCTTCGCGTGAAGAAGAGAGTCAATCTCAACCTGAGGAGAAAGGAGAAGGGAGTCACTCTGGATCAGAGGATGATGGAGAAGAAAAAACACAAGACAAGTCTAGTGATGCAGCAGCAGAAGAGGATAAGGGTGTAGGCGATGAAATGGAGGAAAAGGATGAAATGGACCAGCAAGCACAAGGGCAAATGGATGTAAGAAGATCAACACGGGTGAGAAGCCGTGCAATCAAATCTCCCTGGTTAGAGGAGGTGAAAAAAGGCCGTGGCAAGAGAAAAGCTGACGAGAAAGAGGAATTATTCCAGATGTGCACGAGAAGATGTGATCAAGATGAAGGTGCCAAGTAAGTGTTGGGACTGATTGTAATTGGGACAACTGATTGACAACAATTTTACACATACAACCCTTGTGCTCATTGTTCCTTTTGCTGCAGGTACATTGTAGAGATGTATGGGTACTTCTTGACACGTGCTGAGCTTTGCTGCCTACAAGACAGGAAATGGATGAACGACAGGGTAAGACAGTTGTTTATATAGATAGAGAACTGCGAATGTCATTATGATCATGACTAACTGTTTGTATGTGTGATATAGTTCATGTCTATGGTGGCGAGAACCTTGGTGGGAGATGAAAAAGAGAACCACGGTCGTGTCAGTAGGCACATTTTTTCACCCGAGTTAATGCAAACAATGGCCGCTAATCCTCTTAGGTGGAGCCTGGAAAAACATGAACATGAAATCTTACCGGAGCACATAGGATATAACATTGGAGACTGTGACTTCATATTTGGCCCCACCCTTTTCAATTACCATTGGTTCTGTTACGTGATGGATGTAAGAACCATGCGTTTCTATGCCCTTGACTCGTTGGTGGACAATTTGACGATGTTGAGATTACAAAGAGAGGAAGAAGAAGCAATGAAAACAGGGAAGAAACCACAAAGGAAGCAAGGGAAGAAGAGAGGACAGATAGATCCTAAGCAATTCATGGCGAGAGGGATTGTATGCACAACTTTACATTCATTCTATAACTTGTTAATGCGTTATGGTTGCTTGTCTGCTTAACTGTCCTGGTTGTTAATGCCTGCTGATTACTTGTCATTGGCTACAGCGAAGGTTGTTAATGCTTCCTGATAACTTGTCATTCACAACTGTCAAACTTGTTTCTTCTGTTTGTCCCTTTTTTGCAGAGAGATTGTTTCTGCCAAGTGCTTCGTGTGCTGAAGCCATCACTGTTTGCGGAGGAGGACAAGATTGACGAGGAAGTCACATGGGCAAAAGTTCATGTGCAATCTGACACGTGAGTTATTTTTCAGCACAACAAGTACTTGTGTCTCAACTTTTGGGAGCTAATGTTCATTCACTAAAGTACTTGTTTTTCCTTTGTAGGGACTCTTGTGGGGTGCATGTGTTGAGCTGGTTACAAACATGGGACGGCACTGAGTATGGTGATGACGGCTACACAATGCCTAAGTACTCCCCTGAAGAAATCCATGACTTGAAGGTTGGATGCTTGTGGTGGCTCGTGACTCATCGGAACAACCTGCATGGCGATGAAGTGCTGTCTTTGCTGCGAGGAAACCCCCAAAGCAAGAGGAAGAAATAAATGACAAGCATATATTGTATTTACATTTATTTATTTGACAGCATAGTGACATCTGAACGTCAAGTTCACATTTTATTCTTTTCTTTGAGCATGTATGAATCCTGGATGTTAAGATATGTTAATGTGTTTTGATATCCTTTACTGGTTATCAAGTTTTTGTAAAGGCATTCATGTGTTTTCATCATGGCCACAAATGCAGACTGAATAAGACTGGATAAACAAATGGTAACCACGGTGACATGATAGGCATATATCAGAGTCCTCTCTGCCACATCTGTTTACAACCTCAACAGGGGTTGTTCACAACCTCAAAAGGGATTGTTGACAACCCAAACAGAATTGGTTAACAACTCACTCGGGGTATAACACAGCTGTTAACTTAATTATATTATGAGCACATATAACGACCTTAATAGCAAAAATTGGGAGCATTTTAAAGTCATTAACAGCTTTAAAAGAACCAAATCATATTACAGCAGATTTTTATTCCAGCAATTCATTTACAACCTCAACAGGGATTGTTGACAACCCGAACAGAATTGGTTAACAACCTTCGCATTGCCCCTGACAACTGACGCTGGGGATACCACAACCTCCACATGAGATCTAATTCTAACCAAATCATATCATATTATGACTTTAACACAGCTCGAATGTCTTAAGAAATCACTGAACACTGGAAGTAGGAGAAATTGTCACTTTATATCAGTAACATAATTGAGACTGCTAATGACAACCTGCATGGCGTCTGATAACAAGTCCATTACAACCTATTCACCAGTACATCAAAAATACAGAAATGATGTTATATCAGATTACAACCAGGTGTCATTTACCACTTGATATATATATGTACAACATAACTACACCAAATTTACAACCTATTCAAAAAAGCATACGTGTTGCATGTGTGGATAATGACGGACAACTTGAGGTGTAGGTTATGACATTTACAAAAAAAATGCTGTCACAAGCATTCACAAAACGAAATATCAACAAGCCACCAGCAAAGCTCAACTTGGATTGGGGTTCTGGCAAGTCTTCACAGTGTGGCCTGGCTCATGGCATCTTCCACAGTGGTAAAGTTTTTTACTTTGAAATTGAGATTCAATCCTTCTTTTCTTTGGCCTCCCTGAGGGTCTTTTAGTGATTGGTGGCTGTAAAAATGTTCCCGTCATCATCTGCGTAACGGTGAGAGCTTCGGGACGAGGACAATCATGTGTCGCAATTGGCCTCATACTACTTGCATATATCTTCTCTTGGGCTGACAGCTTATAGCAATCATCTACAAATTCATAAACACTACCATGAAGTAGCTTTATCGCTGCACAGGCATGAGCACAAGGTACTCCGCTCATTTGCCATGCTAAACAAGTGCATTTCTGAGCTGTGAGATCAACAGTGACACAAATTATTCCAGTAGGAGATGTAGTATCAACTTGAACTCGGTTATCTCCATAATATACAGTATGCATATTCTCCGCTCTTGCTACTTTTTCTTGCAACTTGGACTCAATATTTGGCCCAACGCCATTTGTCCAATTTTCCATTGCCATTTTGCTTGCAACCATCTTCTTGGCTAATTTCTCCATATGCTCATGTATGAGAACTGACACATTGTGCTTCCTCTCCTTCAAAATCCAGGCATTAAACGACTCCGCAACATTAGTGGTGATGTTATCCCATCGCTTAAACGGGAATTTGCTTAAAGCCCACCGATCTACATCTCCTTGAGTGTCAACCCAATCAGCCAATTGTGGACAGAATGATCTAAGTTTCCCCATTGCAGCAACATATTCATCCTCAATCCTTGCATAGGCGATTCCATCCAGCATTTTCAATGCAACGTCCTTTGAAGTACCTGAAACTCGTCCCCTGCCTCGGTTAATTTTTAAATAATGTGCACTAAAATTTTCTTTCACATGCCTATAACAAAAAGCATGTCTCTCGCCACCAAATATTGTTCGCACAGCACCTATAATGGCATTATTCCGATCTGAAACTATCGTTGTCTCCACTGATCTTGTGATGTCTTTGATGTTCTGGAGAAACCAAGCCCAATCATCATATGTCTCCCCACTAACTATAGCATATGCTAATGGAAATAGTTCATTGTCTGCATCATATGCATTAGCTGAAATCAATGTCCCCCTGTAAGGACCACTTAGATGACAGCCGTCTATATAAAGTATATGTCGACACCCTTCTAAAAATCCATTAATTGAGCATCCATAAGCAATGAACACCCTCTGAAATCTGTTACTATCCAACCCTTCCCATCGAGCACTTGTGTTTGGATCAGTTTCAATGAGCCTTTCACAAATCCAGGGAATCGCCATGTATGAATCCTGTGCACGACCATGTATTTCCCTCAATGCTCTTTCTCTACCCCTGTATGCTTGACTATAATTCAGTCGCACCCCATATTCTCTATACAGATCTCTTCTAAGTTCATTAGCATTCTTGTCTATATTACACCTCAAAGAATCTATCATGATTGATGATGTTAAGTTTGACCCTCTAGAGTGAGATACAACCAAGCTGTCCTGTGCATAATGCACATGCTCACTTCTTAAGGTTCTAATTATTAACAACTCAGAATCTTGTCTTTGTCCCATTGAGTATGCACCCATATACCACGGGCATCCCTCCGCCATACACTTCACAATGATCTTTTGTTGATTGTTCTTCACAAACTTGTATGAAAACTTCACAGCAATACTGTACCTATACAGTGCTTGCCTAAGAGCCACTGCATTAGGAAAAATCTGTCCTTCTCCGATAACCAAACCCTTCCACTTTGTTGAATTCATTTCCGGAATTGGGGTTGGCATCATTTCTGAACCACATGGCAACAATAGTGGGTCTTCACTAACCACATTAGGTGGAGACATGGACAATGTATCTGAACCTCCGAACAAGTCTTCCATCCTACATAACAGAACAGGTCAAGGGGTCGTTAATGACAACCTTCGATCACTATAATAACAACTTATGCACAACAGTTGACAATAGCTAATATTACTTCGAAATTTAAATAACACAACTTACACATGTTGCTCTTCTATTACAACATCCCTTGTTAGTTGTGAATTTTGATCTCCATTTTCTCCTATATATACATGACCACTGTCGCCATTGAAGTTAATCAAATGTTCTACTCCTTCATCATCTACAAGGTCCACAAATGTACACTCATCAAAGGTTACTGTGAATTTCATAACCATTCCATTACTTTCTTTTCCCACAATTGATGCCACCATTGTTCTAAATTCTCCATATGATGTCCCTTCCTTTATCATTCTTGTTCTCACACCACCTCCAACATACTGCGTTTCACCTTCTACACCATTAATAAATTGTCCTCCTATATGGAGGTAGCAAAACAATTGCTTTGCACTGGAAGTTGCCATCCTGGATATCAACCTGCCACAATCACTTGTTAATAACAACTCATACAGTTATGTTAACAACCTTCGATGTACCCATTAACAACACATTTAACCATCGCATTTAAGGGGTTACAATAATAAATATCTGTCATTTTCCACTCATTTCCATCAGCAACACAGCATCATTGCCCAAAAAACAGAGCATCATTCACCGAAAAACAGAGCATTGCTTTCTAACCATAGCCACACATAGTAAAACCACACCTAACATGATTAAAACCACATATGACTAAAATGAGCCTCCCTTTATATTTCTAGAGAGCTGAATCACATGCTTAATACCAACGTATAAACACCCAATCAACTTTTCTGACCAGCATTAAAGCTGCGACTGGTTGTTAATAACAAGTCATACAGTTATGTTAACAACCTTCGATGTACCCATTAACAACACATTTAACCATCGCATTTGAGGGGTTACAATAATAAATATCTGTTATTTTCCACTCATCTTCATCAGCAACACAGCATCAGTGACCGAAAAACAGAGCCTCATTCACCGAAAAACAGAGCATTGCTTTCTAACCCTAGCCACACATAGTAAAACCACACCTAACATGATTAAAACCACATATGACTAAAATGAGCCTCCCTTAATATTTCTAGTGAGTTGAATCACATCTTTAATACCCACATATCAACACACAATCAACTTTTCAGACCAACATTAAACTTGACACTGGTTGTGTACAGAAGAAGAGAAATGTTGTTAATGATGAGACGTACCAAGAAGATGAAGAAATAATGTCGCTTGCCTGCGATGGAGTACCAGCGCATAACTCCCTTCTTTCTTTCAGAAGCTTCTCTTCCTTGTGCATGCATAACAAACAACCGCACTAAATGAAGCCAATCAGCGTCTCTCCCTCTTTTCTTTCCTTTATCAATGACTGAGGGCAAGTACGTAATATCACAACTCAAATTATTTACCCAGAGGTCCCTGGGGACTTATGAGGAATTTGGGGATTTCATAGGACCTTCTGGTAGTAAATTGTCTTCTGTGGGACTCTACAGTAATTTTCCCAATAAAAAAATATAACAAGTGCTGTAACGGTCCATGTTAAGGTTAGGTTTTTCATGAAGGAAACAATGGTGATTGGATGATGTAAATGGGATTGGGTTTTTCTGCAGAAAAAAATAGATTTCTCTTAAGCCCTAATATTTTTTGGGCGAAAAAAGGAAGATTAGCGTTTTGGTGGGAAAAAAAAACAAGATTATTGTTGGAATCTGGTAAATTGGAAAAAAAAAATCTCCTTATTTTAATAATGCTACACTTTTCAACTCTGATTTAGTGGAATTGGATGTCATATAATTGCATGAAAAAAAAAGGAGAATGGCATACAAATACCACAAAAATATAGATATGATAAAATGGTTCCATTTAATAAGTAACTTAATAGCCTTGTTTACACGAAAAAGGATTACATATAATCATAATTGAAACAGAGTTATCCAAGTATTTGGTTTGACTCATGTAAAGGGAATTATATTTTATACTTCTAATTACTTTAAATAATGTAAAGGGCATTACAGTGTTAGAACTAATGAATGAGGTACTTCTCATAATCAAACAGAAAAGACATTATCGCTATCATAATTTTTTAAA